TAGTTTCCTTAAATTTCACTAAAATTGACTAAAATTCCCTTAAAATTAACTAATTCCCTAAAATTCCCTTAAAATTAAATAATTCCCTTAAAATTAACTAATTCCCTTAAAATTAACTAGTTTCCTTAAATTTCACTAAAATTCACTAAAGTTCCCTTAAAATTAACTAATTCCCTAAAATTCCCTTAAAATTAACTAATTCCCGTAAATTTCACTAAATTTCACTAAAATTCCCTTAAAATTAACTAATTCCCTCAAATTCCCTTAAAATTAAATAATTCCGTTAAAATTAACTAATTCCCTTAAAATTAACTAGTTTCCTTAAATTTCTTTAAAATTCACTAAAATTCCCTTAAAATTAACTAATTCCCTAAAATTAACTAATTCCCTTAAATTTCACTAAATTTCACTAAAATTTCCTTAAAATTAACTAATTCCCTAAAATTCCCTTAAAATTAACTAATTCCCTAAAATTAACTAACTCCCTTAAAATTAACTAGTTTCCTTAAATTTCACTAAAATTCACTTAAAATTTACTAATTCCCTAAAATTCCCTTAAAATTAACTACTTTCCTTAAATTTCACTAAAATTCACTAAAATTCACTTAAAATTAACTAATTCCCAAAAGTTCCCTTAAAATTAACTAATTCCCTTAAAATTAACTAATTGCCTAAAATTTCACTAAAATTCACTAAAATTCACTAATTAAAATTAACTAACGTCTAATAATTAATATTATTAAACTATAAACATGCACAATACGTTAATGACATTAATTTAATCCACAATACTAAAATTATCAACATCTTAATCTTATTAATAATGCACATTTAACAATTTACGTACTAAATTAAATAATATGAGCAAATTCAATAATTTGAGCATATATATAATAAACACATTTAAATTAAATTAACTAACCCTAATTTAAATCATTATTAATCCTAAATTAGGCCGCCTTAATTAACAATAATTGCCAATATAAAGAAATCATATACTTATATTTAATCATATACATATATATATATATATATATATATATATATATAAAGTCATTTGAATTAAATAATACTTACATTTATTAACTAATATTAATAATATGCATTTAAATTATATTTAATCATATATACTTACATACGTATTTAACTAATTTACGTAATTTTAATCCTATATTTTAAAATTAATAACATATGTATTGCCAATATTATATTTAATAATATATATACTTACATATGTATTTATTAACAAATTTACATATTTAACTAATTTACAAAAAATACGTAATTCAAATTACATACCTTATCTGCAAAAACAGGAAAAATGATATGAGATGGGTAGATTACATCCTTCAATTCTATCTGGAATTCTATCTGGAGTACGTAGAAGGTGTGATTTTGTTGAAGGAAGTCGAGGCTGCATATATAAATTTTGTAGTCACGGACGTAGTCACGGATGTGTCCGTGACTACTTGTTTTTGTACGAATTGTCGGTGCACTTTAAATTTGGAGCGTTGAAAAAATCAATTTTGCACTTGTCACGGATTTGTCCGTGACTAATTTCAAATTTAAAAAAAATCCCGCCGGAGGCGAAAATGGGTTGGCCGGAACACTTTAGTCACGGACTAGGTCCGTCACTACCTCTAGTCACGGACGTAGTCACGGACAAATCCGTGACTACTTTTTTTTTAACGATTCCGTGACTACACCGTGATTAGAACCGTGACTAACTAGTCACGGACCAAATCCGTGACTACGGTCCGTGACTACAGGCGAATTTTTTTGTAGTGCAAAATCAGGATTCTTAATCCTTTTTTCTTTCCAAGCTTCTCCTAATCTCAAGCCCAACTAACTACTCCGTACTTTTTACAACTTACAAATAAATACTAAAAATACAATTACAATCAAAGTCAAACCAACGACTACAAACTTTCACAATAATAGTAAATAAACATCACAAACAAATATAAAAGCGTACACTTATGCATATCATCAAACTGCAGCTGAACCATTCCCTGCATGTTGGTTTTCAGATTATCAGTTGATGCAGATTCAATTCCCATTGTGCCTGACGCTGATACCAAATTGTTAGGAGCGCACGTACACAATCTCGTCCAAAGTCCAGGATGAGACAACAGAATATATGCCAGAATAGAATTAAAGTGAAGGGATGAATGATATTCGGATCTATGATGTGCAGAGAGAGAACGTAAACAAAAATTTTTATTGGGATTAATTCCGTATCACACCTTGTCAAGACACAATATTTTTAATTAAATGAAAACGAAAGATCTTCCTAACATCAAGTGAGAACCACTATATATAGGTCATATAAGAGTCCTACAATATAATAAATGAAACTTACTAAAATTGAATTCAGAAACTTGCTTAAACTGAATTAGGAAACTTGCTAATACTGAATTAGAAGCAGTGAGGTAAATAAAGAAAGGGTTATTAATTACCTAATCAGGAGTAAAAGGTAGATAAAAATCACAAATAGGACTACGTTGTTTTAAATTCCCTAGTAGGACTAATTATGTTTGTTTTGACAAATATACCTCTGTAGCTTTTTGGAATAAAATAAATATTTAATAAAATCAATGAAAAAATAAATAAAAAAACGTAAAAGAAAATACACCGCCTCCACCGCCACCCCAACACCACCAGCTCCGATCACCGGAAAAAATGCCAACTTGCATTAGTAATGTCATTTTGATGGCAGTTTCAATGAAATTTTTGACATTATCAAAGAGTAATAATGCCATTTCCTTTGCACTTTCAGAAAAAATAGCACTTTTCTCCAAAAATTGCCTTTTTTTATACAAAAAATGACATTTTTTCACTGATCGAAGGTAGTGGGGCTTGGAGGCGGTAGAGGCGGTGGAAAATGCATCCATATAGTTTTATATGTAGTATTTTTTATGAGTTTTTATTACTCCATCCGTTCTTGAGTCCTCTTAGGCTTTGACACGGGTTTTAAGAGGAAAATAATAGGGGTAGGGTAAAATGTGTAGTGGGTTGTGGGTAATGGTAATAAAAGTTGGGGTATAAGGGTATTTTGATTGAAAAAACATACAAAAAAGGGAAAGAGGAACAAATAATTAAAAACGTCCCAAAAATGAATGTGAGACAGTTAATAAAGCACGGAGGGAATATTTTTTATTAATTTATTTTTTTCAAATTTTTTTTATAAATGTTTTATTAATTCTTTTTTACGATTTTTATTATTTTTTGACAATTTTTTTATGAAGTAAAACATTTTATTATGAATTCAAACACTTCGGTATTTAGAGTAAAAATTTAATGTTTAGTCCAATAGTCTTATCAGTGAATGATTTAGATTTCAGTACTATTTGTGAAATTAAGTTTTTCTTTGATTCTGTTTAGGGCAATTACTAATCAAGAAACTTGTTCCCAAAGTGAGCCACTTTCATAGGCTTCATCTGGCCGAATTCCTTCACGCCGAGCATCTCTTAGACCCACCTTGAGCCTTTGATATTTTTTACCCAAACATTTGTCCATAACATCATATTAAAGTTTAAAACTCCCGTAATTAATTCCACTAAAGTTTAAAACTTCCGAAATTAATTCCACTTGTGTCATTTCACAATGTTTTAGGACACGTTTACTTCATGGACTAGTAAACGGTGTTTATTAAGATTCGGATTAATAAGCGGCGCATAAAATAAGTTGTGTTGTAAGCTCATATTTACTTCAAAGGATTTAAAACACCGTTTAACATTAAAATGTCCAAAATAACCCTATAGATATATACACACACAAACATTCATGAACACAAGTATGTGGGGTCACCTCGTACGCTTAGTCGCTTAGTCGAGGTAACGGGTACACGTGGGAGGGTGGGGGTGGGTGTAAGGGGTATGTGGGTGTTTACTTCATCTGTCTTACTAACCAAACAGTGACTTTAGCAGCGAAGTAAATGCCTCCTTAGTGTTTTATTACGTATTGTACTCCCTCCGTTCCCAAAAATACTTCTCACTTTCCTTTTTGGGCTGTTCCCAAAAATACTTCCCACTTTCCCATTTTGGACAATTTGTGTGGCTCACATTCATTTTACCTTTTTCTTACACAACCACAACCATACATTTCCACTTTATTCCACTTTCTTAATAAGCGTGCCAAGTCAAACCAGGAAGAAATTTTTAGGAACGGAGGGAGTACTATTTAAAGATTTTTTTTTGAAAGAATTTTCTTGTAATAAGGAACTGGTTTGAAAAAAACGTGTGACTGCGTGGAAGATCGAGGGGGAAAAGACAATGATTCTTGCGGGCCTCCTGCTTTTCCGTCCGGGGCCCCGGCTTTATCATTCGGGCCTACGCCTTTACCATGCGCTGATAACTTGCTTTTAATTACCAGGTCAGTGCAGATCCGGGCATCCATTTTCTCTTCTATACTTCCTCTAGATCTTTTTAAACATTATACTTTCCTTTTTGGGATGGTCCAAAATAAACTTCACACTTCATTATTTCCTTATTTGACAAAGAAATCTACATCAAAACAATGTTAAACTGTGCCAAACAGTGTCTCAACAGTGCGAAACAGTGTCTCAAAAGTGACAAAGAATGTCAAACAGTGTCTCAATAGTGTACACTATAGTAAAGTCAAATTTATTTTTTTAATTAATGTGAAGTCAAACTGTAAAGTTTAAAAAGATCTCGAGGGAGTATATACTAACCAGCCTCTCCCTCCTGCCTCCACATCACCTGCTTTCTTTTCCGTATATTCCTCTCATCTCCTTCTCCAATTAAAAGCTAGCATTCTCATCTGAAAATGACTGATATCCAGCAAGTGGTTGTTTCAGTTCCCAAATCCGACGTAGCCGCAGGGGCGGACCGTAGTAGAGACCCAGGGGGGCTACCCCCAACAATTTTTTTTAGTGTATATATATACGAAAAATATTTTTTGCTCTTCCAAAAAGTATTTTGAACCCCCCCAAAAATATTTTCGCCCCCCAAAATGATTTTCCTGGGTCCGTCCCTGCCTAGCCGCCGTGGAAAGTGCAGCCTTGCCGGCTGGACCACCGTTTGGTGGCAGTTTTAAGGTGGAAATCCCCACTGCGGCATTGTTCGAATCCACGTCCGAGGAATCTTCGCCCACATCCTGCCAGTCCCATGATCTAAGCAATTCTTGGATTGTTAGTTTTTTCATTTGAAACCATATGATCCATATACTTCGTATATTATACTCCTGCATAATTTTCAAATTTATACTCGTATATATATACTTGTACATATTATGTTATTTATAATAAGCAAAACTAGGCACAATACACAACTAACCAACAGCATATACCGAGTATATAATAAATAAATAAATAATGCCATACCGCGCGTACTGCCTCTGTGGCTCCGTCCCGAAAAAGATCGTGACTTTTCTTGATCAATGATGATAAATTTTGGAAAATGATTTCAGTATATTTGTCTACAATGTATAATTTTATAAGAAATTGCCCAAAATGGGACTAAATTAAAACATAGATAAAAAGCCAAAGTAGGACATAATATCTTTTTTTCCCATTATAGGAGTCATAAGCTCCTAGTTTAAGTTTTCGCCATTTCTTCAATGTCCGAATTGCCCTTTCTTTTTTGATATCTCTCCTGCTCGTAGACACTGCCTCCAACATCATCGATCTTCTTCTCCTGCCCCGTTCATTCCTCTTCTCTTGCACAGTTGCACTATCCGTTCTTCTGCTACATATATAGTCTCCAAGTTCAATCTTCTTCTCCTGCTATTTCTCAAAGCACTCCAGGTTTGATCTTGTTTGCTTCCTCCATCTCCATTCAATTTGTTTATTAGAAACTCCACCAATTTCAGAAATTCAGCTCTTCCTCCTCTGATTTCTTCTTCTCTTTCTCTTTGTCTTCTCCATGGATTTTCTTCTTCTTCTTGCTCTGTTTTTTAAAAATGTTTTGTTTGCTCTCAAAATGTCATGACTGACATCAAAACTGACATCATTCAGAAAACATGTCAGAAAACATGTCATTTCTAATAACAAGTAGTTATGTCATTCTCAAATAAGTCATAAAAATGCATAGAATGCCATAAGAATGACATTTTCATATTGTCATCCTGATAAATATACTGTCACAAACATGACTGTTTTTTCAAATAACCAATAATTTTGACATTCTCAGATTATAAAAGTGACATTTTGCTGAATAAATAAAATTCAAATTCAAAAAAATGCAAAGAAGAGAACATAGGACTACAAATTTGAAGAGGACTGGAAAATCGTTACGGCTTTGTTTTAATTTCTCATCCAAAATTTTCTAATCTAAAACAATTGTTTAGAATCCCAAAAGTAAGAAAGTGGACTAAAAATTCAAAAATCAAAATAAAAATGAAACAGAGTACGAGTGGGAAGAAAATACAGGAGAAAAGAAGAGAAGAGGAGAAAAGAAGAGAAGAAGAAGAGGAAGATGAAGAAGAAAAAGAAGAAGAAGAATAACAAGTAGCTTGAGATCAAGAACTTACCTAGGAAAACTGCAGCAGGGCTTGAGATCGCAGCAAGGCTCGCAAGTGGCGAACTGGAAGAAGAGAGGCGCAGGGCAAATTCGGCATTCTGCTGTTATTTTAGTCCTACGCTACTTCAGATAAAACTAGTAGTCCTATAATGGAATTTTTCATAAGCTTTAGTCCTATTTAGGTAAATCCCTCTAATTTTATTAATTTTATACTTTTATGAAAATATTTTGAATAAGAAACATTTTGATACTCCCTCCGTCCCGTAAAGGTTTGCCAAATCTACTTTTCTTGATCAATGACAATCAACTTTGACCAATAATATATTTTAATACGAAATTATTTAGAATATGAAAATTATATCAAAATATTCCTTATTGAAAATATTTTTCATAAAAGTATAAAATTTATAAATTATATACAAATATAATAACTAAAATCAATTCTCAAAGTTTGTCATTATTGACCAAGTAAAGTCAATTTGGCAAATCTTTTCGAGACGGAGTTAGTATAATTTTCATATTTAAAATAATTTCATATTAAAAAAACATTCGTCAAAGTTGATTGTAATAATCTTAATAATAACTTTTCGTGACTATTTTTTTGTATAATGAAGTGATTGTAACGTTGTACGTAGTATTATAATAACTTCAATTATATTTTTGTCATTAAGTTTAACTTTTAGGGAAATTTCTTAGGATATGACTAAAACTTATTGAGTTTTCATAAATATGATTAAATTAGTTTTTAGGAATTTGTATGATCAAAAATCCCCAAAAAAAAATCTTTTTTATATTTATATGTTGAATGATGAAAATGCTCTTATTTAAAATATTGCATTTTGAACTAAATTTTTCCAATTAAAATTACTGCACTTTATATTGCGGTTACAGCACGACATTACTTCACAACATTACTACACATCCGGTAATAATCATTGCACCTCCGATAAAATTAATTTTTTTCTCATTCACTTTAGGAATTTATTTATAATTTTCATTTTCTAGTTTTTTAGATTTAATAATTTTATTATTTTAAGTAATAAAATATGAAGTAATAATAGTAACAATAATAGTACATTATAATTCCACACCCTATTTTTCTTTGAATTTATTTATTTATGTTAAAATGAAAACATTTTCCGTATATAAATGTACAGTTGAGTCACCCTTCTGCTCTTAGCAATTTTGACGAAATAGTGAGATCTTCGAAAGGAAAGAAGATATCTATGTTTCTTGATTATGATGGTACACTTTCCTCCATTGTTGAAGACCCTGACTTAGCTTACATGACCAATGAGGTTAATTACTGATTCGATCTTTAGCTGCCGTTCTTGATTTTCTTCTTATATACTAGTATATTTTTTTGTTTATTAAATTAGCTAATATAATGTACAAAATAAAATGTTTTTTTTTTCGAAATATATGTATTTAGATGAGAGAAGCTCTGAGGAACATTGCAATGCATTTCCCTACAGCTATAGTGAGTGGAAGGTGCACGGAAAAGGTGATAATTTATGGGTTGATTTTTATTTATTGCCCTTTAAGTAAACAAAATTGTATCTTGCATGTTTAGTTTGAAGTGGTCGGATCAAAGATTATTAATTTTTATCATTAACAACATTTTCAGGTATACGATTTTGTGCAGCTATCACAACTTTACTATGCTGGAAGCCATGGAATGGACATCAAGGGTCCAGCAGAAGGAAATACGCAAGTAGGAATAGGGTCATGCTATTGGAAATTCGGAAGGTATGATGCATCTCATTGTGTGGGCAAATGAAATAGTGGCACATGAAAATTTAAAACATCTATTAATGAAATGACTTGGAATCTTATTGGCTCAAGAAGGCAAATGAATGGTACACTCCAAATTTGAAGAGGTACCATAGAAATCTCCATAATATATACCCCGAACTACCAAGTATATATAATGGTGACAACTCCGGTACCTTTCTAAAAAATGGGGTACCGTACCTATCATTAATTTGATTGGATCACATCACTTTATCATTTTTAATTTAGATTTAAATAATTCAACTGCTACATTCTCATTGGTCCATGTGGACAAAGGTATGGTACCTTATGGGTACCATAGAATCTACCATATATAATACTCCACATGTCCCAAATCTTTTTGCCAAATGGACTTTTCTTAGTCCATTGGACGATGGACTTTTCTTAGTCATGTGTATTTTTTTATCAACCATTCTTGATGTACACACCCTTGTACACACCTTATACACACCATGTTTGTGAAGCTTTTTTTTTTGTCTGTGAATCCGGTTCACAGACAATATTTTGTTTGTGCAAAACATTGTCTATGAATCGATGTTCACAGACAAATAAAAAGACTTTCACAGACATAGGTGTGTACAAAAGTGTGTATAAGAGTGTCTACAAATATCATTTTTGTTTTTTTATACTACTATATAACTTTTCTTGATCATTGATCATAAACTTTGGGTAATGATTTTGACAAAGAATATTTCAATATAGTTTTTGTATTTTAAATAATTTTGAATTAAGAGATATCATTTGCGAAATATAATGTTACAAAAAATTACGGGATTGACACATAATTGGCATAGATTTGGCACCAATTTGGCACGGATTGACTGATGCTTTCGTGTCAAATAGCTTGTGATAAAATGTTTTTGGTATGGATTTGGCATATCCTTACCAAATTCTCTATGAATTTGGGTGAATCTCTGACAAAAATCTTTATCAATCGTGCATTTTTTTGCAATGAACCATCATTGATGAAAAAAGATAAAATAACCTGCAAGTATTACATTAATCAGGTATATGTTTAGGTGTTTCATCATTATCAGAAAGTGGTCAAAGAGGTCATTGGAGTAATTTTGTAATTAATTTTGAAGTAATTAACTCTAATATAACAGTAAAAATATACTGAGAAGTCAAAGTGAAAACTTTTCATCTTGATTCTCGAAGGAACTTAATTATAAGGAATGACTTTTGAAATAATTGGATTTGCAGGCTGTTCTCCACCAACCAGCCATAGAATTTATACCCATGATTGAAGAGGTTGGTTGCTTTTCTAGCTTCCTTGTCACTCGTGAGTAAGCGTATGTCGTAATGAAATGTTGCGAGTATTATTCTTCAATAATATAAATATAAATTAAATGGTAAAACCTGAAACCTTGTCATCAGTTCTTATAAGTTATATAACCAATTTCTTAGCTAGCTTTCCATTTTAAACACACACACATACATATATAATCATATAAATATATAAATAAAATTCTCACTTTCAGGTATATAAAGTATTACTGGACAAAACCAAATCTATCCCAGGAGCTAGAGTAGAAAAGAAAAAGTTTTGCTTGTCCGTGCATTATCGTTGTGTTGAGAAAAAGGTGCAAAATTTTTAGTATATGTACTTCCAATTATTTTTAGTTTAATTGTTCCAAAAGGTGGAATCTCCCACCCCAGGAGCCCCCACCCCGACCCGACAGGATAGTGGAGAGGTTAGTCACAGTGACTCAGTCAGTAGAATGACAGTAGGCCCATACACCCGTGCGCACCAGAGACCCAGCCTTATTTCAGGTTCTGTGACCTCCACCCGGTCGCTGCGGGGATTCGAACCTTGGTCCATTGTTCCAAATCTCCCACCACTCGACCAACTGAGCTACCCGTGCGGGTTTTATTTTTAGTTTAATGTACGTACATGAGTACATCTACACACAAATTAAATACTCCGTTTATAAGAATTGTTTTTAACATTTTGCCATCAGAGATGTACGTACATGAGTACATCTACACACAAATTAAAGGAAAATTTTACAAATATGATCTAATCCTACTAATTTTTCAAAACTAAGACTGCAGCTTGGCGTAAGACTTAACTACACATGGAATGATCACAATACCCTCTTTTAATAAACTATTCAAGCCAAAGGACTGCCTCACTGACTCTCTCAACTCCTGCGCATCATCTGCTGCACCTCTGCTTCTCTCTTCCCGTTTCTACACACCACAACCATCTGCTCCACCGCTGGTCCGCTGGTCCGGCGACCTCTGCTCCGACGATCCTGCTCCGCTGCTCCGGTGAAGAGGCAACCTTCTTCTCCGATGAGATGTTGTTCATCTCCGGTAATTATATTTCAGGCCTGATTGATTGGATTGGAAATTGCGAGATTCGTAATCGGAGATTTTTAGATCTGAATTTTGTATTTTTAATTCCTACTAACTTATTATAAAAAATAAAATTACTTTTTCTAAGAATTTTAAGTTAACGTAGACAATAAGTAGACAATAAATAGACAATAAATTCTGATTGTCACATACTTGGTCGGACATGGTGGTTGTGGTGATGCGTCGTCGGCCTGGAGTGAACTCTGTTTGTGTTTTCCTCAAACTTCGAACTCAAGTCTCTGTTTGTGTTTTCCTCAAACTCTGTTTTTTACCTTGCTGCTCTACTTGATGTCTGCCGGAGAAGACGAGTAATAACATGAGTATGGCCGATTGGCTTCTGACGGGGATATGAGTTCGAATTGTTTGTCGTAAAAATATGTTCTGTTTTAAGCAGGAGGTCTGAGGCAGGTCAAAGCCGAAGGATAAATAGCTAAAGGGGTAAAAGAGGGAATGTAAAATTAAGTTTACTTAAATAGAACTAAATAAGTGGCACATATGGAAGAAACTATTCTAGGTCCTCTTTATGTAAAATTGGTATGAATTGATCCTATAGGGAGCAATTTTCTCACAAATTAAATACTCCGTTTATAAGAATTATTTTTAACATTTTGCCATCAGAAATGGAGTGAGCTTCGTGTCCTACTACGAGCTGTGACCAATGACTACCCAAAGCTTGGATTATATGGAGGGAGTAAGGTACAACCAGGGATGGATTTAGGGGGGTGACCGCCCCCTTTGGACTTTCAAAATTTTCTTTTATATATGTAATATTTTCATACTTTAATTAGTACGGAGTAATATATTTGTTCACCCTCCTTAACTTCTAGTTTTTAAAATTAATATATAGTCTTACGTGATGTAATACTTACTTGGAGATTTTAAAGAAGAAAATCTAAATAATTCACATAACTTAAACACATAAACATTGGAACAACTAACTCACTCTTTAAGACTAAGGATACTTATTATATAAAAATTCCTTATAATATTTAATTATCTTTATTAGATATTTAGTACTCGATTTTGGAAAATATCAAATGAAATTAAATACCAGACACACTAGTTATAGAGTTTTTAGATAATGTGAACTGAATCCAAAATATAAATGTTTGTTGACATTATATTACACAATTCATTTACTTTTTACTTTATAAAATAACTTTAACTTATTTTGTCATTAATAAAAATATAATATGCACCATATATATGGATTAGTAATATAATATTATTCTAAAAATAATAATCTCATACATATACTATTGCAATCTAAAAACTAAATCTTTATTGCGATAAGATTCATGTGTGGTTAAACAAGGCAGAAGTTATTCAAAAAGTATAGGTGGATGTGTACCCTTTAACCTTTTTATATTCAAATAATTTGATAATTAAAATTTTATGTATACTTTTTTATTTTAAAATAAATTCTTTTGATTTACCATTTCTTACGCTTTATGTATCAATACTTTTTTCTAGATCATTTCAATTGTAAAATCGAAGAAAATTTTCCATTGTATTATAAAGTCTAAACTTAGAATGTAATAGATTTAAATGTCGTCGTGTATGTGTATCAATGAAAATTTTTGAATAAAAAATAACCCTAGAACCCTACACTTGCGAAAAAAATGTCGCCCTGCTACATTAGCAAAAAGCAATTCACCTTTCTACACTAGCGAAAAAATTTCAGCCCCTACACAAACGAAAAAATTTCGCCCCCCTTGACTTGAAATCCTGGATTCGTCCTTGGGTACAACGTACTCCCTCCGCGTCCCAATCATTTCTTCCAAGTTTGACTTGCCTCGCAAATTTAGAAAGTGAGAATAAAGTGAAAATGTATGGTTATAGTTGTGTAAGAAAGGAAAGTTGAAAGAAATGACCGGAACGGAGGGAGTAATAATTACTAGTACTTTCTAACATGATATGCCCCTCTTTAGAATGTGTTGAATAAAATGCTATATTAAGACCTTTTAATATGAAATCTAAGTCTTAACATGAAAGTATTATATTGATTTAGCATGTCAAATTTTTTACATATACTCTGTATGTATTACAGGTTATAGAGATTCATCCCGGCATTGATTGGGACAAGGGAAGGGCATTGGTGTTTTTGTTGGAAGCTTTGGGTTTTACAAATTGTGCTCATGTTTTCCTAATATACATCGGTGATGATCTCACGGATGAAGATGCCTTTATAGTACGAACTCTTTAATTCACACAAGATACATTTCATATACGCAGTACTAGAAAATGTTCTTTATGTTCATACTATAAAATTTAAAGGGCTAATTACCTTAATTAATAGGAGTAATACATTGAATAAGTTCCAATATAGGAGTTCAACGTTTGGTAGGAGTAAAGTTGTAGTGGTTGGACCATATTACCCTTAATGAAATTAATATTTTATATTTAATTAAAGAAAAGGAAAATAACTAAAATGAATCTATAGAACGTAACCCTTTGCAACGGTGCATCATATCTAAGTAGACAGCTATTGCGGCCACCTCCAAGAACCTGCTGCCGCCAACGCCGCCA